CACTCAGCCTCGCTTCCTTTAGAAAGTGAATAGCAGCCATGGCAACTTCTCATTCCCTCACTCCTGCTGGAACAAGGGCAGATATGAATGTGAACATGGTGGCCCAAGGCTTCAGGAAGTGATTGGTAGCCATGGTGATAGCTTGTCCCATTCCCCGCCTGAAGTATGTAACTGCTGTGTGAATGTGCAAATGGCAGTCCTGAGCTTCTTCAAGCGGTAGTGGTTATGGGGCACAAATTCTTCATGCTTCCTCTATAAGAAATTCCCTTCCCCAGAAGGCTCCCCTGAGGAGCCTTCTGGGGAATCTTGCCCCTGTCTCTGTTGTATTTGTGGTTTGTCCACTTTTAGAAGGATCCTTAACTCCCATGAATGCTTTGTCCTATGACAATGCATTGGACTAAACAGGAATGTTTGTAGTAGACCAGGGGTCCTCAAACTAAGTCCCGGGGGCCGGATGCGGCCCTCCAAGGTCATTTACCCGGCCCTCGCTCAGGGTCAACCTAAGTCTGAAATGACTTGAAAGCACACAACAACGACAACAATCCTATCTCATGAGCCAAAAGCAGGCCCACACTTCCCATTGAGATACTAATAAGTTTATATTTGTTAAAATTGTTCTTCATTTTAATTATTGTATTGTTTTAAGTGATTTTTGCACTACAAATAAGATATGTGGTATGCATAGGAATTCATTCATTTTTTTTCAAATTATAATCCGGCCCTCCAACAGTTTGAGGGACTGTGACCTGGCCCTCTGTTTAAAAAGTTTGTGGACCCTGTAGTAGACTATTTGTATTTATATATTTATTTATTTACCGCCTTTCTCGCCCCTAGGGGGACTCAAAGCGGTTTACACATAAATAATGGCAAAATTCAATGCCTTACATTGGGCACCGATACGATGCAAATACAAACAATGACAATAGTAAAACCACAATTAAACATAAATCATAATTAAAACAATACATCAACAAGCATTAAAACAATAAAGCAGTCTCGTCAGTCAAATCACCGTTCCAGTCAATGTCCCTCTAAAATGCTACATACATCTACTGTCCGAAGGCCTGGTCCCAGAACCATGATTTTCCCCTAAAATCCAGGCGGGAGGGAGCGGATCTTACCTCATTTGGGATTATGTTCTATAGGCTGAGTGAGGGCCATAGCCGAGAAGGCCCTGCCTCTCGTCCCCGCCAGACACTGTTGACGGGAGCAAGAGCAAGGCCACCCCGGATGATCTACAAAGCCCTAAATGGTTTGGGACCCGCCTACCTGCGTGACCGCATCTCTGTGTATGAACCCTCATGATCTCTTCGTTCATCTGGAGAGGCCCTGCTGACGATCCCACCGGCATTGCAAGAGCAACTGGTGGGGGCGAGGGATAGGGCCTTCTCGGTGGTGGCCCCTCAACTCTGGAACTCTCTCCCTAAAGACATCAGGCAGGCCCCGTCGCTAGCTATCTTTAGGAGGAGCTTGAAAACGTGGTTGTTCCAGTGTGCCTTTCCAGAATAAGGAAACTCCTAGCATTATGTCCCAATGCACTTTATTAGAGATCCAGGATATCTGCATGCCCATCCCCCTCCAAACACCCCACCTTGTCATGCCCAGCATTTTTAATTTTTAATTTTAATTATTACATCTGGCCCGGCCATTATTTTAATTGCGTCATTGGATGTTGTTAATGTATTGCTATTCTTTGCTATTGCTTTGGTTTTTTTAGTTATTGTGTTGTTGTTGTTGATGTTTTTATTGTTGTATTTGGGCTCGGCCTCTTGTAAGCCGCACCGAGTCCTTCGGGAGATGGTAGCGGGGTACAAATAAAGGTTTATTATTATTATTATTATTATTATTATTATTATTATTATTATCTTAGATTGTGAGGTGGGACGTAGGGGTGGATGTGTTCGGACAAGTAAGCTGGGCCAGAACCATATATTTTGACTGCTTGTTAGCAGTTTTCTTAATAGGTTTTTTCTGTGACACATTTTTTTTTCTTTTTATGTGGCTTGAAAATCTTACATCTGATGTGAGATTTTAATGGTGGATTCATAACATCTAGCTTTTCTGGAAAGGAAAAGAAGTGGTGAAGAATCAAGGATCTAGTTTTTGTGAGCAGTTAGAATTTCTTGACATTACTTCGAATTCTTCTGTTTCTACATGTCACTGCAAATAGTTGAGGAGCACAGCAAAATATAGTAGTCTCACTGTCTTGAGTTCTCTGCCTTGCTTTCTTAAAATAGGGCTGTTACAGTGTAAATGGCAGCATGGAAAGTTGTGTTGACTAATTGATGCTTTACCTAGTTCATACTCCACCCACATGGCCACAGAGGAAGCTTTGTTCTAATACAGTCCTCTCAGAATAATGTCTGCCAAATAACTTTTGATGGACAGCAGCACTCCGGGAGATTTACAATTGCAGAATTAAACTGAAATTCTAAATCATCGTTCTTTACAAGAGACAGAAGTCTACATTTAGTCCCAATGAAGTATTTGTCTCTGAAATAACTTAGAGCTTTTTTATGCTTGACAATTCATAAATACTATAAAAAGTCAGAAAATGAAATATTACCGTTCCTTTTTGGCTGTTGTAGATATAGCCAGTCTCTAGATATGCCCCTCTCTCCAGTTCTGGCTACCAGGTTGTTACAAACTGTGACCTAGCTTTGTCTATTATGTTTTGTTTTTTTTTTGGGGGGGGGGGGGCTGGCCAAAAACAACATTCGCTGTCCCTGGAAATAGGGCTCTTTCAGTCGCTCCCAGGAACTATTCTGCTGCCATTACGTGGATATCTTTATATGTAAAGCTGTTTCCACAAATGTAATCCCAAACTTTTGACTCCAAAAGTTAAGCTCCTTTTTGATAGAGTGATGGGCCTTTTGGCATACTGTTTTAAAAGTATTTGTGTAGTTTTTTTATATAAATAAAAGGTTTACTAATCTGATGTCAAAGCAGGAGAAAGAAAGAATTTCTTTTCTTTTAGAACTCTAGATCCTAAAATCTATATAAATAAAAATGTAATGTTCGTTTGTGGGTTTAACAGAACTCAAAAACCACTGGACGAATTGACACCAAATTTGGACACAAGACACTACTAACTCAAGGAGTGACCATCACTCAAAAAATGATTTTGTCATTTCGGAGTTGTAGTTGCTAGGATTTATAGTTCACCTACAATCAAAGAGCATTCTGAACTCCACCAATGATGGAATTGAACCAAAATGTGGCACACAGGACTCCCATGACCAACAGCAAACACTAGAAGAGTTTGGTGGGCATTGACCTTGAGTTTGGGAGCTGTAGTTCACCTACATCCAGAGAGCCCTGTGGACTCAAACAATTACCAAACTTGGCATGAATATTCCATATGCCCAAATAGAACTTGACATATGGGAGTTGTGGTTACTGATCCATACTGGGTCACAGCATCCAGATCCAGACTGGGTCACAGCAATGCTTGGCAGGGGACAGCTAGTGGTTTAATAAATTGTGTTTCAGTTTACAGCAGGTCCGAAATTATCAGTGGAAGGACAAGTAGAGAATAGATTCCTCTAAGCTTATCTAAACACAGTATCTAAGAAATGCAAGTCCTACACTTTTCCTGTTCTCTTTTTATTGGTCAGGCAGTTCTTTCCAGAGGCCTACTAGGAAGCATTTCTTCCAAAATTATTCTCCCACAGATCAGACTTCACACTCTATTTCTCTTTGTCTGATTCCTTTCTTGTATTTCTTCTTGTTGGCTTTGTCTCTCTACTCTTATCTTTCCTTCTAATACGATTTTTGTTGTGCAGGCAGTCCTCAAGTTACGGGCAAAATAAGTTCTGTAGGTTTGTTCTTACTTCCCCACATTGTTGTTAGAAGTCATGTAAGCCATGTAGCAGGTAACATTTATATAAGACTGCATAGTATCTCAGATAATTTCCATTCCTGATCTTAGTTTCCTTTTGATTTTGGAGTGGAGGGGTGGAATGAGTACTTTATGTCTGCTTGGCAATATAGAGCAGGGCTTCCTAAACTTTTTTCTGTTACCCCTTTCTGCCTGAGAGATTTTACATGCCTCTGAATTTTACATTCAGAGGCATAAAATAGATGTAAAAAAAAATCAAACATTTACTGATAATAAATCAGCATTTGCAAGGCTTGCTCAACAGGCTGATTGTTCTTTTTGTGAAGTACAACTGAAGCATGAATGTGCAGAGTCCACTGTAAACACTGTATGTTGTTACTAACATATTTCTATAACTGGGTGGCATTCAGAAACTTTTTACTTTTGCCAACTTTTTCTTGATCCCAACAATGAGCTACAGGGACTCAATTTGTAATTGGGACTCACAGTTTAAGAAGCAGTGCTACAGAGGACTAGGTAGAGCAAAATACTTTTCCCTGTTTTAGCTGTTTTTATAGTATTATTTAGCTTTTGTAAAACAGAAAAAGCAAAGACATTCCATCTAGTTCAATTGTTTCTTACAATGCAGGACTTTGTTCAATTAAAAAAAAACCCAATTCCTGTAAAACAATTTAGATATGTACAACAAAATATAAAACTGGAAGTTTTATGAAACTCAACCTCTCAATCCTTATCAATGGTTCTCTTTTAAGAAAATAATAATAATAATAATAATAATAATAATAATACTTTATTTATATCCCGCTCCATCTCCCCCAGGGGGATTCGGTGCGGCTTACATGAGGCCATGCCCATCAGTACAGTATATACATTGGAATACAAAAACATACCAATACCAGAAAATAAAATACATAAAATGCAAAGAAATATAATAAATGACACAAACAATATAAAACAAGCAATATAAATATAATATAAAAATATAAATATCTATAAAATATATAATATATATATATAAAAACAATATAAAATAGCCTAACACATGGACATAACTGCAAATTGATTTTGAAATTTTGATTACTAATTTGTCAGCATTATATATATGTGTATGTGTGTGTGTTTGTTTGTTTGTTTATAGTTGGGTTAATTTCTCTTCTAGGAACATGGACTCCATTTAATCCAGCAACAGTTAGATCTATCTTATGTAAGTAATATGCATATTCTTGGTTTGTTTTTATTTTTACACTTTGTACCATTTTGAAATGTTCATAGTATGTATGTAGAGAACTGAAAGTCTTATTTGATTTAATATGGTTTGCTTTTTGTATTCTCTCTTAAACTGTGGTTCTTCCTATATATCAACTGTGGGAATTATGCAGTTTTCAAATTGTTGGATTAGAAGTGTCTGTTCATCAGTGGGCAGGAAAAAAGGGCTTAGCTGGAGATAATTATCCAGTGATTGCCTCTACTGTAATTCACATGGGAAGTAAATAAGATTAATTTGAAGTACTAACAAAGGAAGGCAAATATTGTTGAATAGGTATCACTGAAAGCTAGAGAGAGGTGTATCATTGGAGTGGCACAGTTTCTTCCAAACAAATACACCAAATAAGAAAAGTGCAAGAGTAGCATTTTATGTCAAGGATATGTACTTCTGTGAGGAGTGCCATGACTTATTGGACATGGAAACAGGTTGACAGTATTTGCATAAAAATGATAGGGGGGTGGGCGAACAGTGACTTTATTATAGGGGTCAACTATGGGTCCCCAAGACAGACTGAAGATTTGGAGATGGCTTCCTGGAATAAATGATCAAACATCTAAAGGGAAGAGACACTAGAAGTTCCCAAACTTCCTCTCTTCTCCGCTGTTTAATGGCTTTATCCATCTTCCCAAGGCCAGCATTTCCATGTATGAAGTAATTACTAATTAGTATTCCTAGGCAATTTACATACCCTCTTAACACTTCACAAATGAAAACCAAGATCACTTTCCTTTCTCAGGTGTGGTAGCTGCTGATCAAGTGGCAAAGAGTTGGACTGGAAGAGCAGCACAACTTGCTTGGGCTGTTCTTCCTGAGGTGATGATGAGGCACTGGAACATGATATGATCCGTGAAGGCTCAGCTAGGCTGGGCGGAGGCAAAAGAAATAGGTAGGAGAAAGCAGGCATTGACTGTAAGTTGGCTTTTAGGAAGGGCAGTGCCTTGCCAGGTAAAGGAAACAACAGCAAATATGAGAAGTGCACACCAGGAACCCTGATGCCAGATGCTAGGCAAGACGTGCCCTGTTGCATCTACCATTAGCACCACATCTCTTCTCAGCTCAGTGATAATTTTATAACAGGGAAGGGAGAAGTGGCCATGACACTAGTGCTGAGCCAAGGAACTTTGTAGCTCTGATATCAATAGTGACAGCCCTTCTCGTGGCAGGGCTCAGGACACCCCTATCTTTCCTTGCATCCAAAGATAAGAATGAAGCCGTGATCTTCCTCCAGTCACTGCTGTGCAAACCCCACTGCTATTTCTTCCAACCTGTGGATTTCGTCCAGGTGAAAAAATGGAAGGGCAAATTGAAATATCCTGCAGCACACCAAGAGAAGATGCAATTTAAGAAGCACTGGGCCAAACAGTGCTCTTGCTACATGCATTTTAAATTAGTTGTATTATGCAGGCAGTCCCAAGTTACAAACAAAATAGGTTTTGTAGGTTTGTTCTTAAGGTAAATTTATATCTTAAGTCAGAACAGGTACATTTTATATACTTGTATATACACCAATCCATCAAGGGGCCTACTTTGACCTGTCAGGAGGGAGAGAGATTACTTATTTTTTTAGAAGAAAGAAGGTATAGCCTGGGCTATGCTGTACCAGTCTCTGTATAGGTAATGTGACCCCCTTCTCCTCCCCTTTCAACACTGATCTCCTTCAGCATTCTGTCTGGCCTGTCAGCTTGGCTTTCTAATACAGAGAGAATTTTTCTACATTTCAGTGCTTCTAAAGCACATACAATATATGTACAGGGTGAGGCAGCATAACTTCTTTTTTTCAAAACTTAATAAAACCCATTGTATGAATCAGAAATTTTAATTTTTTTTATAATGTAGGCGCATACCTAAAGAGACCAGTATTGGGTCAGCAAAATTACACATACCTGTTGTTCTGTTTTTATCCACCCTTTGAATTATTGGTAATGGCGGGAAAGTGTATAACAGATCTTTTGGAATGCAACTGCTAATGTATCCTGGCTTTCTGTACTTGGATTTTCATCTACTAGAATTAAGCTTTCTACTTTGAAATTGCTACCAGAAACAAAAAGGTCCATCACAAAAGTCTCACATTTTCTTTGCAACATACTGAACATATTGTTCGGACTCCATTCTCCTAGTATTGTTTCTGCAGGGTGAGGCAGCATAACTTCCTTTTTTCAAAACTTAATAAAACCCATTGTATGAATCAGAATTTTTTTTATAATGTAGGCGCATACCTAAAGTTTTGTTTTACGTAGTTTTGAAGATCAGATTAGGTAGGTGACGTCCCCCATTCTCCATACACTGAGTAAACCGATTTCTGGCGTTTGTCATGACTCTTGCCAGCATAGCAGGCGTTATGTTGGCAATTTCTTCCTGGATGTTGGTCTTCAAATCTTGTAGGGTCCTTGGACGGTTCACATAAACATGAGATTTCAAAAAACCCCATAGAAAAAAATCACAAGGAGCCAAATCTGGAGAGCGGGTCGGCCACTCTAAATCCTCTCAAAAAGTAGGCATCAACGGCAAAAGCACACTCCTCACTGTTCCAACGCATAATGGCGACTGAACTGTGTCATGACAAAACTTTATACTCCCACCTCTTGAACGAGACCACTAGCACGCCACTACGTCTTCAACCGACTAAATGGCGCACATTTTAAAAAAGGAAGTTATGCTGCCTCACCCTGTATAAGCATTTGATATAGGGTAGGGTTAACAATTCCATTGTGTTTATTTTGCTGTCTATGTACATAACAAATAAGTACATAACAAACCAAATAATTAACATGACACAGGTAAACAAGGAAAACAATAACAAACAAGGCTTCCTGTGACTGTGTCCTGCTTGGAACATTTCACCTCACTTTCTGTCCCTGTGATGATTGGATTTTGAAAAATTTGGCTTGTTGTGGAAACAAGGATTGATGAGTAAGCTTCAGTGGAGATACCTTTTTCCCATAACTCTTCCAGGAATGAGTTTCCCTTCTTAGGGTTAGATTTGTCTTGCTTCCTGTTGTCTCACTTCCATTCTTAAATGTCATTTGTAAGTCGGATGTTTGTAACTCGGGAGCTACCTCTAACTCAGTGCTTCTCAACCTTGGGTCCCCAGATGTTTTTGGCCTACAACTCCCAGAAATACGAACCAGTTTACCAGCTGTTAGGATTTCTGGGAATTGTAGGCCAAAAACATCTGGGGACCCCAGGTTGAGAACCACTGCTCTAACTGGTTATATATATAAAAAGTTTTAAAACTATAGTAGACTCTCAGTTAACTAGCAGACATGGAAATTGATAGATAAATGTTGTTTCTGGTTGCTTGAGTCTTACTGTTAAAAGTTAATACTAACGAATATTATCTCCAACACCATAAATTCTGTATTGACTTGATATTAATATTGAAATACAGTAATGAAAAGCAAACAAATAGAAAGTGCCATCTGAGTAGACCTAACAATGTAACCATTTTACCATATTATTAAAAAAGTTTGATGAATGCAGTATGTAGTTTTAATTAAGTCTTTTCTGGATGCTTGAGAGTTCCAGTTGCTTAATTTCCAGATAACTGAGAGTCTACTGCATGGTATAACATTTTATAAACAATATATTCATGCACTCCGTTTGATAAGCATAGTATAATTTCTATTAAAGAAAGAACTACATAGTTTTCTGTAAGTTAAATGTATTCATATTTGGGTTATGTTTCTTTCAGCCATGTTTGACAGAGAGAACAAAGGCGGCGTAAACTTCAACGAATTCACAGGAGTCTGGAAATACATCTCTGACTGGCAGAATGTATTTCGCACATATGACAGAGACAACTCTGGAATGATTGACAAACATGAACTAAAGCAAGCACTAACAGGTTTTGGTAATTCATTTGCAATTATAGTTTATTATGCATGGCAGACTGGTTTAGAAAGTTGTGCCACATCACATTTTGGAATATTTTAAGATTAAAATGTGAACATGAACTTACTGTTCCTACTGTAGTGGTTCCAAAAATACACTGAAATTGCTACCCTGGGAAACATATATGTTCTTGGACTTTTTACCCTAAAATAAGAAATAATCGTAATAATAATATTATAATAATAACTTTATTTTTATACCCCACCTCCATCTTCCCCCAAGGGACTCGGGGTAGCTTACATGGGGCCAGGCCCAACAGAACAGTTAAAACATAACACATTAAAATGTAAAACAACAATATAAAACAAAACATAATGAGAAAAAATAGTATAACAAAATATAAAACAATGATCAAACCAATTCCAATTGAGAGTTGAATGTCAAATTTATTTGATCTTTTTTATATAAATATATGCAGTTTAAGCAAATGTTGTGATACCATCATGATATTATTAAATTAATCTTTTTAGGGAGCTGGATTCATTACAACCAAAGAGACGGCTTAAGCAGGATCTTATTTCAACATTTCCTGAAGGAATTCCACCATTCAACTAATGCATTTATTAGTGCACAGTACTCATAATATAAAACACAACAAATATTTTAGAAGCCCTTAAAACCAGTAGCTTTAAGCATACTTTAGCATGTACCACATTGAAGTCAATAGGTGTCTTCTGTCATCTCTTTGTTCTGTGCAGTGTTAAAAAAATGGAAGCTGAACCCTTGAGGTTGTGAGTTAAGTTGCTCTACGGTTAAATTTCTGATTCAGATTATTTATATAACAGGACCAGTAAAAATAAAATCTCTCTATATATATTTAATTTGGAAATGATTACATACAACTTGGATGAAATGAAGAATAAGCATAATGCCAATATATTTATACCTCTGATTAATAGCTGCCATCTGTTGCCGTGCCCTGCTCACCCCACCAGCTCAATAGATATCTTGAGCAATGATCAGTCGATTCACCTCAAAGAAATGGGAAATCAATGTTTCCATTTGATGTTGGATGTTTTGCCTTATGTCTGTTATAACAGGCTGTGCTTTTTATTTAATTTTAGTTTGTTAACTTACAATTCGTATTTATATGTTGGATTGTATAAATTTTGTTAGCATGTATGTATTGTTGCATTTAGGCATTGAATGTTTGCCTTTTATGTTTGGAATCTGCCCTTTGGGGAGAGAGAGCGAAAAATAAAGTATTATTATTATTTGAAACACAACAAGATGAGTCCACAGCAGACACTGTGCTGGCTGTTGAATTGGATCACACGTCGGACACTTCCCAAATGTCTAGGACTGTGTGATGTATCGGTGAATAATGTGTGCAGATCCCAGTAAGGTGGCCTTCTGCAGCTGGCAGAATTATTATTATTATTATTATTATTATTATTATTATTATTATTATTATTATATTTAAGCTGAAAGAGCATTTCATAGAATATTACACCTGTAAGGAAACTGAACGTTAAAGACTGCAGCAATTGCCTTACTTTCTTGATGAATATCTTTTTTGATTTTTTTTAAGGTTATCGGCTTTCTGAGCAGTTCTATGATCTCCTTATTCAGAAATTTGACAGACAAAAAAGAGGACAGGTGGCATTTGATGACTTCATTCAGTGCTGTGTTGTTCTGCAGGTAACAAACTGGAATGAGTACTTAAGACATGGGTTTCCAATTTTTGGTGGGGGAGGGGCAAGTGAACATATCTGAAATTGAGAAAATATTAACACCACTCCCATAACTACCAGCAGTTGTGTCCGGTGAGTAAGCAGATGCTATGCTGGGTATAAAGCAGGGGTCCTCAAACTATGGCCCTGGGGGCCGGATGAGGCCCTCCAAGGTCATTTACCCGGCCCTCGTTTACGGTCAACCTAAGTCTAAAACGACTTGAAAGCACACAACAACAGCAACAACAATCCCATCTCATCAGCCAAAAGTAGGCACACAGTTCCCTTTGAAATACTAATAATTTTGTATTTGTTGAAATCGTTCTTCATTTTAATTATTGTACTAACTGTACCCGCCACGCGTTGCTGTGGCCAACCTTCCCTCCCTCTTTCTCTCCCTCCTTTCCTCTACTTCTTTCCCTTCCTATTTATCTTCTTCTTTCTTCCATCTCTACCTGTTTCTTTCCTCCATTTCTTTGCTCTTTGGTTACATCCTCCTTCTTTCCCTTTAACTTTTTTATTTCCTTCTCTCCTTCCTTGTTTCTCTCCCTTTCTTTCCTTCCTTCTTTTCTTCCCTCCTTCCCCCTTTCCCTCCTTCATTCCTTCCCTCCTTCTCTCATTACTTCTTGACAGTCCCTTCCAACTCTATTCTGTAAGTCTATTTAATTTGTATTGTATAGTAATGTATATAACAATATATAAAATATTGTATTTATATCTTAGATAGAAAGAAGGAAAGGGAGAAGGAAGGAAGGAAGGAAGGAAGGAAGGAAGGAAGGAAGGAAGGAAGGAAGGAAAAGGGGGGAAAGAGGGAAAGGGAAGGAAGGAAAGGAAAGGAGGGACAGGAAGGAAGGAAAAAGGAAGGAAGGGGGTGAAGAAAGGAGGGAGGGAAGGAAATGAAGGGGGAGGAAATGAAGAAAGGGAAAGGAGGAGGAAAGGAAGGGAGGGTGGAAGGAAAAGAAGGAAAGGAAGAAGGAAGGAGGGACAGGATGGAAGGGAAGGAGGGAAAGAAGGAAAGGAAGGAGGGAGGGACAGAAAGGGAAGGAAGAAAAGGGGGGAGGAAAGAAGGGAAGGGAGTAAAGGAGAAAAGGAGTGTGGCAGAGGGAGCTACCTCCTGTTCTGGATGTTAATAGAAGAGAGAGAGAGAGTTAAATGTGTGCTCATGTTGCCAGAGACAGATCTACAGAAATGAGAGAGAAGGAGAGGGAGGAAAGAAAGAAGGAGTTGGAGGAGGAAGAAGAGAGCAGGACGCAGAGGAATGGGAGAATTCAAAAATAAAACTTGTTTCTGCTAGGCCTGTTTGATCAAGAAAAAATTTGTTTCTAAAATCGATTTGTAATTGGGGTGTTTTTTTGTTTCGATATTTAAAATAATTACAAAACTTTCCCCAAAAAAAGTTTTGGTATTTACGAAATTTTGTAAATATTAACGAATTTTTAGAATATTTTTTGTATTTTTTAAGAATAATATTAAAAATATTTTAAAATGGAAAATTAACCAAAAAATGGCCCAAATGTTGACCAAACACAGGCAGGAGACAGCAAATGAGAGAAAACACCAACAGAAGAGTCTTTTCTTTTTTAGAATATTTTTAAAGAATAATATTAAAAATAATATTAAAAATAATATTAAAATAATATTAAAAAATATTTTAAAATGGAAAATTAACCAAAAAATGGCCCAAATGTGGACCAAACACAGGCAGGAGACAGCAAATGAGAGCACACACCAACAGAAAAGTCTTTTCTTTTTTAGAATATTTTTTAAGAATAATATTAAAATAATATTAAAAAATAATATTAAAATAATATTAAAATATTTTAAAATGGAAAATTAACCAAAAAATGGCCCAAATGTGGACCAAACACAGGCAGGATACAGCAAATGAGAGCACACACCAACAGAAGAGTCTTTTCTTTTTTAGAATATTTTTTTAAGAATAATATTAAAATAATATTAAAAATAATATTAAAATAATATTAAAAAATATTTTAAAATGGAAAATTAACCAAAAAATGGCCCAAATGTGGACCAAACACAGGCAGGAGACAGCAAATGAGAGCACACACCAACAGAAGAGTCTTTTCTTTTTTAGAATATTTTTTAAGAATAATATTAAAAATAATATTAAAAAATAATATTAAAAAATAATATTAAAAATATTTTAAAATGGAAAATTAACCAAAAAATGGCCCAAATGTGGACCAAACACAGGCAAGAGACAGCAAATGAAGCAAGCAGCACTCACAGCAGCAAGGAATGAATCCAATCCCAGTTGCTAGCAGCCAAGCCAACCCAATGCAAACTCCCTCGCCCTCTGCAGCAAGCTACGGGCCGCGCGGAGCCGCTTTGAAAGGGCTCGCCGGCCAATCAAAAACAAACAGCCACGGACCCATGGTGCACTGCTTGGGAGCGCCGGATTGGCTCCCAGGCACCAGCACTCCAGCAGCCTCCACCCCATTAACGAAACGAGCGGAGGCTCGTTAAATCTATGGGGGTTGCTGGTTCGATATTTAAAAACCCTTCCGGGTTTGGAAATATGTTTTGATATCGCTTCGGAAATGCTAAAAATAACGAATTAATAACGAATTAACGAACGAAACCGCACAGGCCTAGTTTCTGCCTTTCTTTCTTTCCTCCTTCCTGCAGTGAAGGGAGGGCGACAAGGAAGAGTTGAAAAAGGCAAAAGTTTCTCTCCCCTCCTCCCTCCCTCCCTCCTACCTGCTGCTTCCACCAGGGCATCTTGGAGGAAGAGGAGGCGACGAAAGGGGGGGGGGCAGCCAAGAGGAAAAGGCTGCTGCTTCTGCTGGCAAATGAGGGACTTAGGAGCCCATCCACCATCTTCCTCTTCTTCCTCACTCCTAAAGCAGTGGTGGTGCAGTTTCAGAAGAGGAAGAAGAGGAAGTGGAGGAGGACAGTGGGTAGGCTCCTAAAGTCCCTCCCCCACCCGCCGGCTTAATGGCTGGCCGGCTGTTTCCTCGCGATGAGGGGGCGTGGCCATGGGTCTCTTTGTGGGCAGTGCAGTTTCTCCTTTGTAGTTCAGAAGTCCTTTCTGCTTTTTGTTTTAGTGGTTTTTTTGAGTGGAGAACATACATTGGGTTGTTAGGTGTCTTGTGTCCAAATTTGGTGCCAATTGCCCCAAGGGTTTTTGAGTTCTGTGAATAGCACAAACGAACATTACATTTTTATTTATATAGATTGTTTAAAAGTGTTTTTTGCATGACAAATGAGATATGTGCTGTGTGCATAGGAATTCATTCATTTTTTTTCAAATTATAATCCGGCCCTCCAACAGTTTGAGGGACTGTGACCTGGCCCTCTGTTTAAAAAGTTTGAGGACCCCTGGTATAAAGAGTCACAGTTGTCTCACACAGTGCCCAGTTTTCTGCACAAGAAACCTCCTCCAAGTGGCAAAGTGCTGAGAAAGATTAAAAAGAAAGCATTGAATGAGACTAGAGACGGCATAGACAAACTTCGGCCTTTCTGAAGTTTTGGACTTCAACTCCCCAAATTCCTAACAGCTTAAGCAGCTGAAGGGTGAAAGGAAAGGGCCTCAAGCTGTTAGGAATTGTGGGAGTTGAAGTCCAAAACACCTGGAGGACTGAAATTTGCTCATGCCTGCTTTAATGTTTTTGATCCACAGGTATTTTAAAATCTTGAACAGTGAAGAGATGTCCTGCCACTTATATAAAGTTTCTATTGCTGCCCGAGAGACTTTTAAAAGAGGCAGTTCAACAGTATTTTGGTCTGGAAATAGATGATCTGTGCAGGTTGAGGGCCACATTAATCTTCAGGGCTATACTTCGCCCACCCTTGCTCTTTCACAACAAAGAGAGCAGATAGAGGAAGGAAGATTGTTGGATACCACTTCCTCCGTGTGGGTTTGCTTGCTTTCAGCATACTCTACTGTTTTCTGTAAATTTGTTTCTGTTTCAGAGATGCAAAATAAAAAACAAGGTACATGACCAAACCACATGGGACAGAGCCATGTTCAGGAAGATAGGAAAGAAGAGCTGGTTCTACTTACTTACTTACTTACTTAGGCGATCCCTCGTTGGACGAGTAGGATAGTCTTCCATGATCTGTATTCTTGTGGATCCGTAGGTGGCTGTGGAGCCCTATTCTTGACCTGCATCTTCTCCCACAGTGAGCGCATTGGTTTCTAGGTGGAAGGCGGTCTCGGTCGGGGTTGGCTTGGCGTGCCATCCTCCTGGCACATTTCTCTCTTTCACCCTCCATTCGTGCCTCTTCAAATTCTGTAGCACTGCTGGTCACAACTGACCTCCAGCTGGAGCGTTCAAGGTCCAGGGCTTCCCAGTTCTCAGTGTCTATGCCAGAGATTTTAAGGTTGGCTTTGAGCCCATCTTTAAATCTCTTTTCCTGTCCACCAACATTTCGGTTTCCATTCTTGAGTTCGGAGTAGAGCAACTGGTTTGGGAGACTGTGGTCGGGCATCCGGACAACGTGGGCGGTCCAGCGGAGTGGTTGACGGAGGACCATCACTTCAGTGCTGGTGGTCTTTGCTTCTTCCAGCATGCGGATGTTTGTCCGCTTGTCTTCCCAAGAGATTTGCAGGATTTTCCAGAGGCAGGAGCTGCAAGTAACATCTGTAGATAGTCCATGTTTCACAGGCATATAGTAGGGTTGGGAGAACAATAGCTTTATAGACAAGCACCTTGGTATCCCTACGGGTGTCCCAGTCCTCAAACACTCTGCTTCATTTGGAAAAATGCTGCACTCGCTGAGCTCAGGTGGTGTTGTATTTCGGTGTTGATGTTGACTTTGGTGGAGAGGTGGCTGCCAAGGTAGCAGAAATGGTCAACATTTTCTGATGTTACACCATTAAGCTGTATCTCTGGCATTGGAGAGGGGTTGGCTGGTGACTGCTGGAAGAGCACTTTGGTTTTCTCAATGTTCAATGACAGGCCGAGTTTCTCGTATGCTTCTGCGAAGGTGTTTAGAGTGGCTTGTAGATCTTCTGAATGCGCATAGACGACATTGTCATCAGCATACTGGAGTTCTATAACAGATGTTGTTGTAACCTTGGTTTTGGCTTTCAGTGTGCTGAGGTTAAACACCTTGCCATCTGCCCGATAGATGATTTCTAACTGGTTGGAATGAATTTAGCTGGTTTTAACTCACTCTTGACTCTAGCTTTTAGTTGAATTCAGTAATATACTATGGTAACAGTAAATTGTACAGATTTACTGGTAGAATTTCTCAATTTTGCTGGCAAGACAAACTAACAAACAATCTCTTTCTTTTTAGAAATGGACAGATGTCTTCAGACGATATGATACTGACCAAGATGGCTGGATACAAGTGTCTTATGAACAGTACCTTTCCATGGTGTTCAGTGTCGTATGATATTGACTGCAAAATGGACTTTAATATCACAACAAAACAACTTAAATATCAAGACGGAACTGGATACCTTTTCATCCCCATGTATGGTCCAGGAGAGGCTTCGCTGTGCATTATCTTAGGATGTTACCTGTTATTGCCCTAGCGTCTACCGCTCAGTAATTCAGAATTGCATCATGTACCTTACATTGCTTAAATGCCAAACAGTAGAAATATTTTTCATTCCAACTTAAAACACTATTGCATGTGCCTTTTTTTAAAAAAAAAACCTGAATATTAAATCTCCAGTTGTACCATTTTCCTACCAATATTTTTTTGCTGTTATGAGACTGCTGTTTGCTCAGGCTGTAGCTGCTAATTTGTCCAGGATATATATCTTCCTTTTAAGACTGCTTTATGCAACACACACTTCTCTGCAGTTTTTTTTTTTTTTTGCTTCAATGCTTCTGAGATGCAACGCAACTCCCCAGTGTTTTCCAAACTATAATTATTATAATCAGCCCCATGAGCATTTAACCAATGTTGGTGCCAATAGTGGCTTTTTCTTCTATCAAAATGAAGTCATCCTGTATCTTGCTTGGACATTTTGCTGGAAACTCACACTCAAAGGAAAGCAGAAACTGATCTCAAGTGGACCATACGTTGGAAAGACATGACAAATTATAATAAAAAGAGCCACCTAGAAGTGACAAGAACCTTGATGCACCTTGGAGCCAAAACACACCATAAAAAGTTGTGTTTTCCTCAGAACATTGTTATCACATCTAATTCAATTAAGATCTGCAGATATGATGCACATGGAAAGACTGCTAGGTATATTGATATTGACAATATGACTAATCCCATGGACTTTGCAAATATTCTTGAGACCGTATCAATTGGCAATAATAAAAAACATTTGTTACTGACAACACTGCACACAGTCTGGTCGTATCTGAAGTGGTGGCCAAAGGGCAACTCGATCAAGAAAGGAATCGTCTCCTTCAGGAAAAATTGTTAAATAGATAAGGGGCCCACTGCAAGATTTCAATAGAGAGCTGCATCAGGGATGATCCTGTTCTCAGATCCTGATACAGGAGCCAAATAAAATATTGAAATAGGCAGAGAAACATTTGTTGTCATTAATGGCAATTCATTTAACGGGGTCCTTGAACATAACAGACTTCTCAAGTACAGGGTGAGGCAGCATAACTCCCTTTTTTAAAATGCGCGCCATTCAGTCGGTTGAAGACGTAGCAGAGCGCTAGTGGCCTCGTTCGAGAGGCGGGAGTATAAAGTTTTGTCCTGACACAGTTCAGTCGCCATCATGCGTTGGAACAGTGAGGAGTGTGCTTTTGCCATTGAKRCCTACTTTTTGGGTAGACTATGAGTGGCTGGTCCACTCCAGATGTGRCCCCTTGTGATTTTTTTCTATCGGGTTTTTTGAAATCCCGTGTTTATGTGAACAGTCCAAGGACCCTACAAGATTTGAAGACCAACATCCAGGAAGAAATTGCCAACATAACGCCTGCTATGCTGGCAAGTCATGAGAAACRCCAGAAATCGGTTTACTCAATTGGCCCTGTCATCTTTCCCATTATYGCTTCATTGCCCTGTCCTGAAAGCTTGGTCCCACAGCCAAGTTTTTACCATCCTTCTAAAGGACAGGAGGGAGGGGGGCGACCTGATCTCACAAGGAAGGGAGTTCCATAGCCGGGGAGCAGTCGCTGAGAAGGCCCTGTCCCTCGTCCCCACCAATCGCGCTTGACAATGGCGGGAYGGAAAGCAGGGCCTCCCCGGAGGATCTTAATCTCCGCAATGGTACATAGAGGGAGATACATTTGGACAGGTAATTTGGGCCGGGGCCGTTTAGGGCTTTATAGGCCAAAGCCAGCACTTTGAATTGTGCCCGGTAGCATACTGGCAGCCAGTGGAGCTGGYGTGACATGGGAGTTGTATGCTCCCTGTATGCCACCCCAATTATTAACCTGGCTGCATCTCGTCGGACTATTTGAAGCTTCTGAGCAGTCTTCAAAGGCAACCCCACATAGAGTGCGTGGCAGTAGGGTATTCTAGATGTAACGAGATGTAACGGGTTGGACTGGATGTCCCACAAGGTCTTTTCCAACTCAAGGATTCTATGATTCTATGATTCACACTTTGGAAAAATTACCTTTATTATCCTCTCAGAAGAGAACATTGCTAAACATATTCCTAGTAAGTTAAGAGTTTACAAGTAGGAATAACAAGGGCTTATTTACAAGGTATTTGTAACTTTTTGTCTATATTAAACATAAAGATGTTGAATATTTCTACTACATTTCAGAAATCAACATTACTCCTTGTTGACAATAGGCTGGATATCACTGAAGTCCTCTTCCTCCAGATCTGTCCTTTAATGGCTTCCACTCCAGCTTAATTTGATTTTTAATTCATTTTACTCAAAGCTTGGGCAACTTCATAAATATCAACGTCTAAGGGAGAAGGAAATGATTTCAGTTCAATGTCAGTTTATAATAAAATAACACAAGACTAAAGCTGAATCATTAAGTGCTAATTGTCCTTGTTATCCAGTTTCTATGTTGAGTATGTACATTATATTTCATTATCACCCCTACAATTTACCCCAATCAGCCCTACATATGTGGTTCTCAGACTTATTGTTTTGCTTAAGTACAGAGCTGTTATAAGAGAAATAAATGGGTCCTCTAGCAAATAAAACCTCCCTAGAAGTAAAGATGACTACTCTGAAACTGTTGTACTTCGAACATCTCATAAAAAAGCATGAGACATGTCTCAATGGAAAAGGGCAATAATGATTGTTAGGTCTATCCATCTGCATCACAAATGGACAGAATCAAGGAAGCGCTGAGTCTTCAAGACCTGGCAGTGCTGTTGATGACAGAATGACTTTGAGGTCTCATTTGTAGGTCGCCATAAGTCAAAATTAATAGCGGTTAATAACAAAGCAAATTACAAAACTGTGACAGTGAATTTTTTTAAAAAAACTAGCAGTTGCATTTGCGATTCTGAAGCAGTATGAAGGGTAACTATTCATCCAATAGCACTTGAATACTTTCACCAAATATACAGTTCCAGCCAGGCCTGTAGCAGGGGGGGGGTCAACTCCCCCCCCCCCCCCCGAAATTTTTCCGGTTAAAAAAAACCCCTGGTTTACTCGTATTGTCGAAGGCTTTCATGGCCAGAATCACTGTGTTGTAGGTTTTTTCGAGCTATATGGCCATGTTCTAGAGGCATTCTCTCCTGACGTTTCGCCTGCATCTATGGCAAGCATCCTCAGAGGTAGTGAGGTCTGTTGGAACTAGGAAAAAGGGTTTATATATCTGTGGAATGACCAGGGTGAGACAAAGGACTCTTGTTTGCTGGAGCTAGGTGTGAATGTTTCAACTGACCACCTTGATTAGCATATAATGGCCTGACATTGCCTAGAGCAATGGTTCTCAACCTGGGGTCCCCAGATGTTTTTGGCCTTCAACTCCCAGAAATCCTAACAGTTGGTAAACTGGCTGGGATTTCTGGGAGTTGTAGAACCACTGGCCTAGAGCAAACTTTTGTTGAGAGGTAATTAGATGTCCTTGTTTTTTTCCTCTCTGTTGTTGTGCTGTTGTTGTGCTGTTGAACAAAATCTGGTAGTCAGATTTTGTTCATGGTTTCCTCCTTTTGGAAACCATTAAATCAGCCATAGCAGACCACCTGATGAACCAACCTGGACACAGCATTTTATTTGAGAACACAGAAATGCTGGATCACTCCAACAACCACCATGTCAGACTACACAGAGAAGCCATTGAAATCCACAAGCATGTGGACAATTTCAACAGAAAGGAGGAAACCATGAAAATGAACAAAGTCTGGCTACCAGTATTTTTTCTGGCTACGGCCCTGGTTCCAGACATCTTTCCAGTTCCAAACCTTCCTTCCAATCAGCAAGCAAGCATAATGTTAAGATAAAATGCATCTTACATTAAAAATACACTGCTAACGCTACTATACCATAGTATTTCCCAAAGTAACTTTTTGAACGTATTGACATTTTTTTCTAATGTAAATGATTCCTAAGAGTTTTGCATTATTCAATCTGGTTCAAAATGTTCCTGTTATAGTCAATGAGGAACAGGGTGTGGAAGTTTAGTTTCCCACAGCAAGAAATGAGTTTGTTGATTCTGACACTAGCCAGGTGCAGGTGCAAATTGACTCAGAAAAGGAGGACAGTTCTCAGCCTGATAATGAGCAGGAAGGCAAACTGGATAACACTAACGAACAGACTGACCTTGACGAAACGGGAAACTTAGATCATGCTGACCGTTTGGAATTCAGAGTTCGAAGGAGTGTGAATAGCTAACAAGAAGGAGGTCAGAGGCCAAAGAAACACTTTCATGTTTTGCAAAGGATAGTAAGCTGTGTGTTTGGGACCAAACCTTTGTCAGAGCAACTTTTCGTTTAACCAGGACTCAGGACTGAGTCATGTTCTCATGGGATTTTGCTTTGCTGGTGTCTTTTTGGATTATGCTTCAAAGTGTTATTTTGTATTGATCTTTTGGAACATTACTTTTGCTTTTAAGAACTTTTTACCTTTTATTTTTAATAAACTATAAAGACTTCTGGCTGTGTGCAGTTTGGTGTTTTTAGCAAGGTGAATCTATTCTGAGGTGCGACAGCAAGATACAATTACAWCATATCTTATGTATTGCATCTTATTTATTTTTTGTAAGCCACTCTGAATGCCTCTGTGGCTGAAGAGCAGGGTAAAAGAAACTCTCGAGGTGTATGTGTATGTGTGTGTGTGTGTGTGTGTATATGTGTGTGTGTGTATGTGTATATATATATATAGAGGCAGGCATCCTATGCTAAGCTTTACTACCCAGCTTCCTTTGTAACAACCAAACCAAGATTTGAAAAAGAAATACTGGAGTCACTTACTCTGAAGGCCTGGACAAATGGGTAGCAACTGTTGAAGCATGTTTGCCACTGTAGCGGCATCTTTTCCTCGAAGTAGGCTCAAAATGTCATCCGTAAGGACATTCCTACTTCCACATATTTCATCATAAGTACGTGTATTCTGTTGTTCGTACTGACCGCCAGTAGAAAAGGAGGAGTGCGATCCCAGATCAAGGCCAGGTTTTGAGTAAGGTTGTTGTAACTCGTAAGGTCCAATTTTTTCAGAAGAAAGGGAACGTGCAGGCATCCGATTACCACTTTCCAGCACATCATGATAATGTGAAGCATATTTCTGCGAAGGGAAACTTGCTTGGGATCTTCCTGAAGGATGATGCAAGGTGGGACTAAGAGAACGTGCCCTTGAGTCGTATGTATTCCTAACACGTTCCCAGGTTCTTGGTTTACTCACTGTTTTTTCATTACTGGATACTTGTCTTCCTTCTTGGTAATGTTTTCTGTAACTGCTCTGAGATGTACTGAAGAAGGGAGACTTTTCTTTAACTGGTGCTGACTGGGAATAAGCAGAAGCAGATTGGTTGGATTGCTTCATCCAGTCAATTCCAGTACCATAGCCACTTGACTGATGGGCAAATGAATTTTCAGGAGCAGATACTGTTGCAAGATCTTGACAACTTAGGCCATGTGAAGAGACTTTCTCACTCATTTGGTAAGCATATGAGCTGGCAGGGGTGGATGAAGTACTTGGTGCAGGCTGTTGCAAGGATTGTAATTGTGTGAAATCATTAGTTGAGCACCCAGGATTCCAACTTTCTCCTAGGGGAAATGAAATGAAATAATACAAAGATTATAAGGCTACTGCCATAGATTACATTTTTATTGAGACTTTCCCAGAATTTCTGGAAAGTAGAAACTTGTATTTTCTCAAGTGACAGAGGTGGCACTATTTCCTTTAAAATTAGATGACAATTCTGTTTTGCAGACATTTACTTTGGATGTGCCTCCTCTGATATACAGGGCGTTTCAAAATGATGGACCACATTTTAAAGCAGTAATACAAAATGAATCCAATTTGAAATCGCTATGAATAAAATTCTTACCACTTGAAAGGTTGGGGCATAGCATTTTAAGCAACTACTGCTAGATGTCTCTCCCAGTGCATAAATAGTCCCCAACCTCAGTTATTTGCATTATAGTAATCCTGCCACATAAACCTAATGGGATAGTCTCTGTTTTTTTTAAAAAAAAAAATGGAAAAAAATTGTTGAGATTAATTTCACAATTCAGCAGCAGATCAGTTGCACAACTTTCCAGTAGCTTCTTCCTGCACAGTATTTTCAGTCAACTGCTCCTACAAACTGCAGTCACTCTGGAACTCTTTTACAGACACTTGAGCACATGCCCGGCCATTGTCAGTTTTATCATTGTCTTTCCCCCAGTCTAGATGACATTACAAACTTACCACAGCACATAGTTATATCTTGTCTTAGCAGACAGGTTCTTTTAATCAATTACATAGAGCCTTCGACGAACAGCATCACAGCACACTCTACATGACTTCCTTATATACAATTCTATACAATTACACATTGTGTCTCTGATTGGTTCCTAACTCATTAACTTAACTCAGACCCAGGATTACATCATTGACAATCACCTGGACTAGGCCAGAACACATTCCCCAAATGAAGTTCTATATACAGTTAATGCATGACTCAGCATTTCTAATAGAAGCCTATTAGCAGTACATGACTCAGCTATATAGAATCATAGAATCAAAGAGTTGGAAGAGACCTCATAGGCCATCCAGTCCAACCCCCTGCCAAGAAGCAGGAATTCGTTGATTTCTGTTGTTAGGGCTTGTTCTCCAGACCCTTGATCATTTTAGTTGCCCTCCTCTGGACACATTCCAGCTTGTCAATATCTCTCTTGAATTGTGGTGCCCAGAATTGGACACAATATTCCAGGTGTGGTCTAACCAAGGCAGAATAGAGGGGTAGCATGACTTCCCTGGATCTAGACACTATGCTCCTATTGATGCAGGCCAAAATCCCATTGGCTTTTTTTGCTGCCACATCACATTGTTGGCTCATGTTTAACTTGTTGTCCACGACTCCAAGATCTTTTTCACACGTACTGCTCTCGAGCCAGGCATCCCCCATTCTGTATCTTTGCATTTCGTTTTTTATGCCTAAGTGGAATAAATTGTAACATGTTGCCATCGTGAAATATACTGCTTTAAAATTAGGTCCATTATTTTCAAACACCTTGCGTATATCAGAGGAGGCACATCCAGTGTAAATTAGGTTGCGAGGTTGCCATCTTGCAAATGACTGAGGCTAAGGCTGCGGGGAGAGGCCTCTTGTAGTAATCATTTGAAACTATCAATCTCATCCTTTCAAAGGAGACCCCGGTGGCGCAGTGGGTTAAACCCCTGTGCCAGCAGGACTGAAGACCGATAGGTTGCAGGTTCGAATCCGGGGAGAGGCGGATGAGCTCCCTCTATCAGTTCCAGCTCCTCATGCGGAGACATGAGAGAAGCCTCTCACAAGGATGATAAAAACATCAAATCATCCAGGCGTCCCCTGGGCAACGTCCTTGCAGACGGCCAATTCTCTCACACCAGAAGCGACTTGCAGTTTCTCAAGTCACTCCTGACACGACAAAAAACCAAAAAAACAAACAAAACAAAACCCTTTCAAAGTGGCAAACGTTTCATTTATGGGTGATTCATGGTTGCAGGGATATAGCGATTTCAAATGAGGTCTTTCTTTTTTAAACATCCCGCATTTTATTTTGAAGCTTACACACTACACGTATAAGAATTAGATGCAGTTTGATTTGAAGTAAGAGGACAGAAGTACACAAATATCTCAAAGATATTGTAAACCAGAAGTGTCAAATTCATTTTCATCAAGAGCCACATCAATTTTAAGACTCCCTTCAAGGGCTGTTGAATCCAAGGACGGAGAATCCACAGTGGTCAAATAATTTTTTTATATAGTGGTCAATACTCTTCAGTTTTGCACAAATTTGGGTCTCCGGATGCTACTGAATGACAACTCCCATCACTTTTGAATATCTGTGAGGACTGGAGATAATGAGAATGGCAACCCAATAACAACTGTTGCTCTGAGGGGCAAGTTTAAAGGATATTAACATCAGACATCATATCCAAAAGCCTTGTATCTAAATTCAAATCCCACTATCTTAACTAAAGAGAACAAACCAAAGCCTTTCAAATGTAATTGTTTCATAATTCCCATCAGCTCTAATCATGATGTTTAATGATGAAGAATATAGGAATTGTCATCCAGGATCTGGAAGTCCACATCAAAGGACATGGCAGGCCGGATTTGGCCTACAGGCCTTGAGTTTGACATGAATTGTAGTCACTCTCCTCTGTGTATTTAAGTAGTCTGACCAAATGTATTAAATAAACAAAAAAACAAAAAACCCACACCAACTGTCATGGTAGAATTATGCAGTAGTAACTGAAAGCCCCTTCCACACAGCTGAATAAAATCCCACATTTTCTACTTTGAACTGGAATATATGGCAGTGTGGACTCAGATAACCCAGCTCAAATCAGATATTGTGGGATTTTCTGCCTTGATATTCTAGGTTATATGGCTGTGTGGAAGGCCCTTAAACAACTTGGGCCAATGTGATGGCAAAAAACATCAAACTGTGGTGGAATTAAATTGAAAAGGGTGTGGGGGTTTCAAGAGCCACAGAAAATACCTTGGGGGACATGCAGGCTACATTCTTTCTAACCTATTTTAAGGCACTGAACATCATTTGCCTACTTAACAAAATAGTCATCATAACCTATTACACAGTGGCAAAACAGCAAAATCGGCCTCTTCCTTGGACGTCAGTGGAAGTAAGAAATGTATCAGATTGCTTCAGCAAGTGTACAAAAATATTTCAGCAAATGATGTGGTTGGGAATGTTTAATTTAATGACAATTATGGGGCAAAAACTAGCAACAGATAAATGTTTATGAAACCAAATACATATAAAACGTATGACATATGAATAACCAAATGTGTGACTCATCTGAAAAGGTGAATTTATGCTATTTTTTTATTCTCCAAGTTCTTTATTTTAATAAATATATGGCAGATCTCTCACACCAGAAGCAACCAGCAGTTTCTCAAGTCGCTCTTGACACACAAATAAAAAACCCCAACAAACTCATTAATTTAATATTGTATTGTAATAATTGGCTATATACTCCTCCATGAATGGGTTTCTGTGTGTGGAAGAATGAGAGAAGAGGGAACAATGAAATAGATGGCATTGTTTTCTTGGTGAGAGAGAGAGCGATCTAGGTCTGGCCCTAAGAAGGTGACCCCAGATACTGCATTAAACACTTACCTTCCCAGACTGAAAAAAATAAAATAAATATCAAAATACCTGGATGATTTATGTAGCTTTCAAATTGACTGGTGGCCGTATGCTGGTTGACATTTCCTATTTCTGGTGACAGCAGTGATGGAAGGCTTTTAATATGGTTGATCTACAAGGAGGGGAAAAAAGATGATTTACTGCCTATATGTGTTGTCTCCTCCCTAAACATGAACATTTGCAAAAGTGGATCCTTTTGGGAAAGAATGGCTTGCCATAGATGCAGGCGAAACGTCAGGAGAGAATGCCTCTAGAACATGGCCATATAGCCCGAAAAAAACCTACAACAACCCAGTGATATAGGATTTGCTGCTACTGACATAGGATTTGTTACGGAATTTTCCTTGCAGAAACATTCACACACCCACTGAATTGCCCATATTACATTTAACAATGCAATATTTATTTACTTTCTCCCAATGTAGTAGTGGTTCCCAATCTGTGCTCTGTGGACCACCAGTGGTCCCCAAACACAAAAATATGGTACGCGGCCTCACCATTACTACATCATTGCCTCAAAAACACGTGGCAACGAGACTGACTGGTCTCGCAAAACTCTCTTATAGTGCTGAGAGAATGGGGATGTTGGGAGGAGAGAGGCTGACTACCCACAAAAGATTACTACTACTACTAGATCAGCTCTAGATTATTAAATATGTTTTTCTGTAGGCAAGCGGATGGCGATGACATACCGTATATACTCGAGTATAAGCCGACCTGAATATAAGCCGAGGCACCTAATTTTATCACAAAAAACTGGGAAAACATATTGACTTGAGTATAAGCCGAGGGTGGGAAATGCATCCACTATGGGTCAATTTCAAAATAAAAATAGATACCAATAAAATTACATTGAGGCATCAATAGGCCAAATGTTTCTGAATATTTACATAAAACTGTAATTTAAGATAAGACTGTCCAACTCTTATTAAACCATTATTCTAACCTCCTTCAATGTAAATGTACTTATTATTAAAATAATAAATATAATAAAAATAATAGAGTAAAATAATGAAAATGCAATAAAAACAGTAATAATAGAGTAAATTAATAAATGTAGTAATAATAGGGTAAAATACTCTAAATGTAATAATAATAATAATAATAAATAGATTAAAATAATAAATGTAATAATAATAATAATAATAATAGGGTAAAATACTCTAAATGTAATAATAATAATAGAGCAAAATAATAAATAGAATAATAATAGAGCAAAATAATGTAAATATAATAATAATAGAGTAAAATAATAAATGTAATAAAATAATACTAATAGGAGTAAAAGAATCATAGAATCATAGAATCAAAGAGTTGGAAGAGACCTCATGGGCCATCCAGTCCAACCCCCTGCCAAGAAGCAGGAACATTGCATTCAAATCACCCCTGACAGATGGCCATCCAGCCTCTGTTTAAAAGCTTCCAAAGAAGGAGCCTCCACCACACTCCGGGGCAGAGAGTAAATAACATTGACTTGAGTATAAGCCAAAGGGAGCTTATTCAGCCTAAAAAGGGGCTGAAAAACTAGGCTTATATTTGAGTATATACAGTATGTTCTGTATCAGAAACTAGAGCTGATGTGGTCTATTCCAATGCAATTTTCTGAATCAGCACCCCAAATAACCAAACCAAATCTAAAGTTGACTAAAAATTTCGTAACCCTTTTGGTACCAACATTAAAGGTGGTCCCTGGTCAAAGTGGTCCCTATTCAAAAAAAAGGTTGGGAAGCACTTCAATAAAGGGACTCAAGACAACTAACAATACACATAAAACAATGCTAATGAAAAACAATGAATAGACATTAAAATATAAATATAAAAATGGAAAGCAATTAAACAATATATACTATTATAACCTTTAAATATTAGAATGCATCAACATCAACCTTAAAATCATACCACCTTTATAAAAACGCAAGCAGGGACAAAGTTTCAGTTTTTGTTTAATCGAAGTTGTAGTAGGCTGATAAATACTTTAAGTAACCGACCTAAAGCTTTGGTGATTTGACCCCCAGGTATTGAAATCCAGACTGACATATCAAACTCAATTGGAGCAAAGCCTGTTTGGGGTGGGGTGGGGGTTCATGTTGAGAGCTACCAAATATTGATTCAGGGAAAAAATACTTATGAGAACGATGAGCACAAGTTTGTTTTTGTTTACATACATTTTGTGCCAAAAATGTGTGGTAAACATGTGGTTTTTTAGGGGGTGGGTATGTGTGAATACTTCTACAAGACACTGTAGATAGTATAATATTCATTTATTCATGAAATACAATATCCATGTTCCACAATATTGTTTAATTCACTTACAGTTGCTTGCTTTTGACAGTAGGCCTTCAGATCTTCTGATAACAACTGCGCGAGGTTTATTACTATAGATGCTTCTTTATCTGATTTTATCTCAAATTTTTCCTGTCAAGATTTTAAAAGGATTTAAGAATTCAATGTTAATGAAGTAAACCCATTTCCATCTGCATGCATTTCTACAAAGCATGTGTTTTTTCCCAGTGCCAGCTGGGAAAAACATGAAGGCTTTCTCACGATTAGCCATGCCCCTACAACAGCTATCTATATAAATAAAAATGTAATGTTCGTTTGTGATACCATCAGAACTCAAAAACCACTGGGGGAATTGACACCAAATTTGGACACTATGTCCTTAACAACCCAATGTATGTTCTCCACTCAAAAAAACAACAAAAACAAAAAGCAGAAAGGACTTCTAAACTGCATGTCTACAAAGGGGAAACTGCATGTCTACAGAGACTCATGGCCACGCCCCCCCTCCTCCTCGCGAGGAAACAGCCGGCCGTGAAAGCCAGGCGCATGTGCACGGCCACACACACACAAGCGAGTGGAGTGGAGGTGCGCTGCATGCAGCCCCTTCTCTTTCCCTCCTATGTCAGGAGAGCAGTCTCCTCCTTCTCCTTTCCCTATTGGGAAAGCATCAGCAATGGCAGCAGCAACGGAGCATCCACGCAAGGAAGAAGGGGAGGAGGGGGAGGGGAGGAGGAGGGGGGAGGAGGAAGGTCCACTGGTGCTTGAATGAAGGACCTTCCTTCTCTCCCTCTTCCCTTCTTTCCTCCTTTCCTTAAGGAAGGTAGGGAGTGTGCTATTAAGTTACGTACTTATAATTCATTTAAGTAGTCCCCCATTACACTTAATGACTGTAACTAATTCCTGCCAATATGTAATGTCAGAAATAATCACTAACATTTATAATTGATGTGCCCTGACTTCAACTTGCATTCCTCCGGCTTAATACAAATAATTTAGGTGTAATACGTACTTAATTGAATGAAGGGAAGGTTGCTGTCTTCACTCCTTCCTTCTTTCCTCCTTCTCCTTCTTTATTTTCTTCCTTCCTTCCTTCCTTTCTTCTTCTCCTCCTTCCTTCTTTCCCTCCCTTCCTTCCCTTCCTTCCTTTCCTCTTTCTTTCCTCCTTCCCCCTCTCTTTTCTTCTCTTTCTTTTCCTT